CACGTCCTGGTGACTAAAGCTCCAGAGGTTGTAGCACCTGGCGCTGTAAAGGACACAAGCTTGCCAGAGCATTCCTCCCAGCGGAAGCTTCTTGTTCCAGTCTTCCGGCGCGGAATTCCGCGCAACTTCTCTCTCCAAGTCTAACCACACTGCCCAAAATCCCTGCTTCATAGTTTCTACTTGTCTTTCAATAGCGCCTTTTGACTGAGGGCGATACCCGGGCACGACGTCCACAATGACGCCAGAAACAGCTACATCACCTGTACGGGTAGTCAATTTTTCGGCTAAAGACATCAAAGCCGACTCCTGATCACATCTCACTGTGACCATTTTCTTCACAAGACCCATTTCGCGAATCACTCGTCCAATGTTGTAAAACAGATCCGGATCATCCAAATTCATGGCCGGGATGACCGTGGTATAGTTCGAAGAGCAATGTGCAAGAAGCAGCACACGAAGACGACCGAAGTAGTAGAAATCCATTCCTATCGTCTGGTCCTCGCGTTGCAAACGCCTTCGCAAGCGTCTCGCAGGAACCTTCCCTTTACTCGAGGTGCAGGCCTCACAGTTCACATCATAAGGAAAATGACCTCTGGATCTATGCACTTGCAAAGCCACACTTCGCAGAGGTATCCTATCTGAAACTTCTGCACCTCCAGGCGGTTCCGGGGGTTTAGGTGGTTCAGCACCTTGAGGCTTCGGAAGCGGACTCTCTTTTTCTCCTCTCTCTTCTCTCTCTGAAGAACGTGGTATGTCACTATCGAGTTCTAAGGGCTCAGCTTGCGTCCCCTTACCGGGGAGGGGCAGTCCACGCACAACTCTCAAGTGGCTGTGCTCAGAAGTGGATCTGCTCCCTTTTTCATCATCGCCCTTTCTTCTCAACAAACAACAACCACACACACTCCAAGCACAACACCATGCCATGCACACCAACAAGCTCCACAAGTTCCTGTCGAGACAAAGGCCCAAGCACATGGCCTTACATGCGAACTTCAAAGAGGCTTTAAAACCTGAGCTCCAAGTTGGTTTCACAACGTGCCTGCTAAAGACCAGAGTACGTTCTACATCAACTCGAACATAACAGAAACGAGTCTTGATTCGCACTCGGACTCCTTTACGACGATGGTGTAAACGGTACTTTCGGGATACAAGTTGAGGGTAGTCACCAACTCCTCGAAACCTTTTCAAACACATCTTCAAGAATCGAAACCCTAACCAGAACGAACCCCCCAAGAGACTTGCTATCACATAGATCGCCAAGCAAGCGAAAACATCCAATGCTTCTCCTGGCATGCAAAACAAAGCACTCCTGGCCGGCAGGGGTCTGTCATGACTCATGTTCAGGAGGTTTGGGTTCGTGGCGTTTCTGAGGTTCACACTTGAGGGTATTTCGGATCTTTGAGGGTACTGCTTAGAAGATCGACGTTCTTTCGGGCTAGTTAAACGCGGACTTGAGGGTATTTCGGATCTTTGAGGGTACTGCCGAGAAGATCGAAGTTCTTTTGGGCTTCTCTTCAAGGGACCTTCAAGCTCGCACACTCCTAACCAAGCAAGTCTCACACAGCAACATGTCTGTTCAACTGCTTCACTCATGCTTCTTTCCAAGTCCAAACAAGCCTGAAAGACACTGTGTTTTTCCAACGCGCAAGACATGCGATCGGCGCGTTCAGAAACAATTCCACAAAAGGAAGAATTCCGCACAGCCTTTAAGGCCTTCACTTCTTCTGGCAAGGGGAAGGAAGCACAAACTCCCTCTCTTCGGCTGTTTGACCCAAGCCGCCCGGAGGCGGAAGGGCACCCGCTGCGGATGATGTAGCGGTCTCGGAGGTAGGCCCTTCCTCCGCTGTCACGGTTGCTGGCTCTGGAACTGCAGGCAAAGACTCTACAGCCACTGGCGCTTCTGGAACCGTCAAAGGCGAGGAAGTTGGAACCACAGACCAGGCCTTCGGTGTAGCCCCCGCTGGTGCCCCCTGGGCTTTCGACAGAGCACCTGGAATTTCCCCAGGAGCTGCCTTCGGGACATAACCGGGACCTGGAATTTCCCCTGGAGGAGGGGTCTCCGGCACACTCTCCGTTGCGGAAATTGGAGCTCCAACCGGTGCCGTGGGTCCTGGAGTTTCTGGGGCCCGCTCCTCTTCCACCACCATAGGCTCCACACTGTGGTCCGAGGGACGAGAAGAAGCAACAGGTGGGACATCCAAGAACTTGAATGACTCCAAAGGGGCCAATGAAACTGCGGAAGGCGAAGGAGGTACCGGTGTTGATGGAGCTGCAGTGTCCCCCAGAGGGGCTCCTAGAGATGCTGGATCGAACTTGTACCCGTCCATCGCAACCGGCGATGGCTCCATAATGATAGGAGACGGTGGGGGCGGCGCAGAGGAGCCCACATCTTTCAAGGCTTTCTCCGCTTCGATGAGCGCCAAAACTCTGGTCCGGCTCTGCATCATGTATTCCCCCATTGGAATCGATTCGTCCGACGAACTTGCCGAGGATGACTCTGCAGACTCTGTCTCCGAGCCTTCGTTCATGGCTCCAGTCTCCGAGCCTTCGTTCATCGCTCCAATTCCACCTCCAGTATCTGTGGAAGCAGCTGCAGCCGTCCTTCTGGCCTTGACCTTGGGTCGAGCGGACTGCAAGTCCTCCCATTTTCGGACCTCTGCTTCGAACTCGATATAGCGCCGGGTGCGCTGATCCATTGCCCCCATTAACGCACGCCACCCATGCCTGATGGCTGAGCCTGGCACCCACTCGAGCTGGAGCTCGACGTCGTCTGGGTACATTCCAGCCAAAAGGTTGCGTTCCGCTTCCGGCATGGCCTCGTAAACGGTCAGGACCTTGAGGATACGCTTGATGTAACCCAGCGCAGCCACGTCCCCGCCACTCTGGTGGCGTAGGTGACTTGGATCGGGAGTATACCCTTCGATAGCAGCACGCGCGTCCCTTGCACGCACGCCGCGTTGATGAAGAGTGCGGCCTTGACCCGCGAGTTCGAACCTGGTAGTATGCTCGTCCAACAACTCGTCGGTGAGCTGGGAAAAATCCCTCTTTCTCTTCACCGGAAGGATGCCTCCATGATCCGGGGCTTCCGGAAACTCGGGCAGCCACAGCGCCCACGCAACCTCCGCGCTGATGTAGGGCGTTCCATCCAGAGGATCGGGATCGTGATCGCGAAGCCTCTTGGACCAACCCGTTCCCAGGCACGGCCCCACATCTGGGTCTGGACGTTGGATCCGCCCAAGGAGCTTCTGCCCAACCTCGAGGAGGTAGCCGTCGGTCATCAAAGCATCTGTCAATGACGCAAAGATGGTCCCCTGACGGGAAGGATAAACGATCCCATCTCCGATAGACATAAGTGGAACTGCAGGTTCCAGGTTGTTCTCTGGAATTGCCGGCACAGGGTATCCACATGCAATAAGATCTTCTCGCTGTTGTCGTATCGCTTGCATGAAATACCTGAAGCGCGGTCCCCTCAGCATGCTTCTCCACTTCACTATCAGCGACGGCTCGTCTGATGGCTGCGAAGGCCTGGCCTTGCTTGCCCTCCATTTTCCCCATGCTTCCTCCTCTTCTGTCTCTCCTGTCTCTGATGCAGCCACCGTAGGTGAAGGTACTGCAACTTGACTCGGAGGCCTCGAGAAAACATTGAAGGGGGCAGCTGAAGCCTCTGCATCCGCAGTCTCGACTGGCGCCGCCTCTGCTGGTGCAGGCTCTACTGGTGCATTCAAAAACACAACCTCCTGCCCGGCACTCTCCGCTGGAGAGTTGTGGGAATCTTGCTCCACCTCCATTGGCGGTTCCGACATGCTCAGTACCTTCCCTCAGGGAAAACCAAGACACGCAAACAAGCAAAATGGCTGCGGACAAACATGCGCACTTCAAGCCTTTTGAGGTCCTTTTGGGCTTCCTAACGCAAAACATGCCTGGCTCGGTTGCTTTGGGGCACTCACTTCCTTGAAGGGCACACCTCAAACCTTCACTGCCGAAGATCAGGAGCGAAAAGCCTTTCAAACACAACCCCTTCACAAGACATGCCAGCAAAAACATCACGTTCCAAACTGCGCACACATGCCGCTGCCAAAAATCATGTTGCTGTCTGACAAAAACATGGCATTTCCTAACAGAATCATGAAGTTTCCTAACCAGACTTTCGGAACACAGGCTCCTATCACCACTCAGGACAGGCGTTTTCCTAGTACAGATCATGTCGTGCGGTTTCCTACCGGCGTGTTCTTCAGGAATTTCCAGGGACCTACTCCTAACTTCAGCCCTCAAACCGCGCAACATGAACTCAAACGGCGTTCCCGTCAAGACGTGGCGGATAGACTTCTCGTCCTTTCCAGGCTTCTCATCACTCTTCGCTTCTTTCGAAGTCTTCTTCAGGATGCTTGGTCCTGCAGTAATGTCTTTCCTGGGTTCCTTGTCAACAGGAAGAGAGTCGATCTCCATGTCCGATCCCTTGGATGGGCGTTTAGGAGCTTTCTGCTTCTTTCCGCTAATCGCCCACCAGGCCCGTTTCGCCCCAACCAGGCGGACATTCTTCTTTCCACCCTTGTAAATGCGAGACCCGGTGCGCGCAAGGTGCGTCTTCCAGCCCCGTTCCGACGCGGACCACGGAGATACCACATTGAAAGGCACGTCCGCCACAAGGACGTCCTCCAACGTCAACGAAACGTCGCCGAAACGAACTTCCAGATCAACGACATTCGATACGTTTATGATGTCTCCTGAGGCACTATAGAGCGTCACCGTGCGATCATGGTACTTGCAGACACGAAATCCTGACAGATGATCTGCTGAGACGATGTGGCATGTGGCTCCACTATCGACCAGCCACACATCACGATGCTCTACCTGCAGCGAAGCGCAGACGTATGCCGCATCTCCCTTCGAGGTGCTTCCAGTCAAGGTGCCTACCTTCTCATCTACAGTGACTTTCGGCCCGACAGCGACCGGTCTAGGGACTGCCTCTACGGGCTTAGGCTTCTCAGGCTCAGGCTGGCTCAGTACTTCTCGTACAGCAGAAGGTTGGCAAACCTCATCGCCATCACGGTGGAGGTCCTCGAAGACTCGGACTCTGCCTCGGACTCTGGTTCTCCCATAGCCCGGGCTCTAGCCTTCTTCTTCTTGCCTTTGCCCTTGCCTTTATCAGGCTTGTCGGGCTTCTGCTCCTTGTCTTTGCCGCCTTTTCCGCCTTTCGGCGTTGGAGAGCGTGGCTTTCCTTTGGGATTCTGCGCTCCCTTGCCATCGCCCTTCTTGCCCTTGTCGCCCTTCTTGCCCTTTTCACCGGCTTCACGCTGACGGCTCCAGCAGTCCTTAGCCAGGTGTCCCTTTCGTCCACAGTGGTCACAAAGCTTGTCACCCCTTTCCTGACATCTGCCGATTTGAGGAAAAGGGACCCTCACACAGACGAAGCTGCTCCTCATAGTACCGAAGGCTATCGCTCAGCGATGTCCAGTCGTTGCTCTTCCCATGAAGAACGACGTACTGTTTGAGCTCCTGGCTCAGAGCTTGCAGCAAAACACTGCAGCGGTCAGCCTCCGTGAGACGCAACTCTGGAAAGTTCCCAAGCTTGGATTCGGCACGAGAAAACTCGTCCTCCAAGTGACGGATGAGGTCTGTCGGCCGTCGGTGATGCTGGCACGTAGTCGCCAACTTGAGGCACTGCTCCGCACGTAGACAGCTTCCATGCGAGACACGATGCTGTATTGCTGCGTGATGGTCCTCACAGCCTCGCATCCGCAGGCACTGAGAGACTGCCTTTTCGAGCACGAGCGTAGCAACTCCTGACCTCTTTCCCAACGTGAGAGAGATTGGGTGAGATAGTAGTAAAGCTTCGCACTGCGAGCAGCAACATCATCCGCCAAATCCTTCTGAAGGATCTCATTCTTTTGCTTGACGCAGAGTTGCAACTCTCGAACGAAAGACTCATCTTGAAGAGCAAGATGACAGTGTCTCCAGGTAGGCATGCCATGTCTCGACTTCTCGCATCCTGCCCTTGTTCATGCCTTGATGCTCTAGCATCGGCAGAGATGGAAGGTACTTCTCCGCCCTATTCTGCACCAATGGGCTCCGCACAGAGCTCGAAGACGAGGTAGCTCCTGCAAAAGGCACAGAAGGTGTGCTCGGTGCAGCTGCAAACGGGTCTCCCGTAGAACTTAAGGGGGCCTTAAGGGGACTTAAAAAAGAGGGGCCGTGTTGTGACCGTTTAACTCTCCTTTGTCTAAACAAAGTTGAGATGTCGTTTGAAGACTTGAAGCCTTTGAGTGCAGCTAAACACTGACGTGTTTGCAAACTGGAAAAAGCAATCTGCGCTAAAGCTCTGCTTTTCACATTTTGCTGTTTGGGTCTCAAGAACAACCGACAGCACCTGCTGGAGGCGAACCCTTTTGCGTCGCCTCCGGTAACTCCAGCTCAAGCTCATGCTTCGCCAACTGGAAGCCAAGTGGGTGGAGTACAAGCTGGAAATGGCCTTGGTGAAGGCAACTTCCAAGCCATCTTCTTGGAGATGCTAAGGCAGCAAAGTCAGGCCAACCAGCAGAACCAGTTGATTGCTGCCCTCATGAGAAGAATTGATTTGGAAGAGAATTCGAAAATGCGGAGACCGCACGTTTGGTTGCGGAGGCTGCAGCTAGAGCCAAGCCCAGCCGCAACCAAGCTCTCCCCTCTGTGGAGGGTTTTGGCAGCAGTTTAAGAGGCCCAATACTTGCTGGGTCCTTTGGGCAGCAAGTTAAGTAATACTTGCTGGGCCTTCTGCGGAAGGTTTGGGCAGCAGTCTAAGAGGCCTAAAATTTGCTGGGCCTTTTTTGGAGGGTTTGGGCAGCGTTTAAAAGGCGTAATACTTTGCTGGGCCTTCTGCGGAGGGTTTAGGCAGCAGTTTTAGAGGCCTGATACTTGCTGGACCTTTTGTAGAGGGTTTGGGCAGCAGTTTAAAAGGCGTAATGGTTCGGGCAGCAGTTTAAGACGTCTAAGAGGCTTAACACCTGCGGGCCTTTGGTGGAGGATTTGAGGAGCAGTTTAAGAGGCCTAGTGCGAGCATCGTGTTTGCAAATGGGGGGGCTGCGCTCCTCCCAACCCTCGCGCTTGTTTAAGCCGGGCAACTCGCGTGGAAGCACAGGAATCATGTCCAAACAAAACAAAACAAAACATGGGTTCTCGGCTTCGCCCCGCGCCACGTCACTGCTATGCAAATGGGGGGGGCTGCGCCTCCCCAACTCTGAGTGCTGTGACATGGCAAGAACATGTTTTGTTTTGGCGCATGTTTGCATGACATGAAGGTGCTTTTGACTTGACATGTTTTCTTAAAGGGGGGGCTTTAAGCCCCTTAAAAACGGGGGGGCCTTGGGGGCTCTAAGGGGGCTTTGTAAAGGGGGGCTTAAAGGGGGGCTTGGGGGGCTTGAAGGGGGCTTAAAGGTGGGCTTAAAGGAGCTAAAAGGGGGGCTTCAAGGGGGACTTCAAGGGGCTTCAAGGGAGGATAAGGGGGGCTTAGGGGGGAGCTTAAGGGGGCTTAAAGGGGGGAATTTAGGAGGGGCTAAGGGGGGGCTTAAGGAGGGGCTTAAGGGGGAGCTTAAGGGGGCTTGAAGGGGGGCTTAAGGGGGGCTTAAGCCCCCCTTTGCCCAAAGGGGGGGGGGGCCCATCCTCAAAGTCAATCAGCACACAATGCCTTTGAAGATTGGGTTGGAGCATTGTCATAGCATGGGTGAAAGAGCATGAAGGAACGGTGAATTGTCCAGCGTGTGGACGAAAAGAGGTGAGGAATCACAATGCTGAATGCTCCACTGCCTTTTTGCGTTCACCTCTTCCGAAAGGGGCGTACATGATCCTGAATGGTTTGAGGGTTGCAGCCAAGGCGTGGAACCGAAAGCTGGCAACTGTGGTAAAGAAAGTTGGGTTGAGGCAATGCCCAACTGAGCCTTCCGTCTTTGAAGGTGCCGTGAGAGGAAAAAGATTCCTCATGTCTCCGGACATCGTGAAAACGGTGGAAAAGGAAGGAGCAAGTGGTTCGGATCCAGAGCTGAGTGACGCTGCAGCTGCCAGATACCGAGCAGTACTGGGCCGGATTGCATGGTGGGGTCAGTCAAGGCCTGACCTAAGTCGCTGGATGTCCATCCTTTCGCAGGGACAGTCCAAGCCAACAGCATGCTTTGAACAAGCATTGCGACAAGTGATTAGGTTCCTCAAGGGACAATACCATGCTTGGCAGCACTACGGTCCTGATGGTGATGTGCCAGATAGTGGGCCGGCGCAGCTGGAAGTGTACGCGGATGCCAGTTGGGCACCCCAGGCTTCGCTAGGACGAAGATCGGGATGTTTCGAAGTATGTCACCGAGCTGTAAGACAGTGATATGGTGAAATACCAAAGCAGCTTTGAGAAGCTGGTGCGGCCGGTGCAAAAGATTGCCGAGGTGAAGCCGAAACCTTCGAAGCTGTTGGGGATCATCGATCTCCGTGGACAGATCGGTGGCAAGGCCCTGATCTACGAGACGGCAGTGACCGAGGGTGTGCTCTACCTCGAGGTGCCACAAGCCACGTTTGCTCTGAGTGTGATAAGTTTCGTGCGATACCTCAAGGGCAAGGGGATCACCCCTGTGCTTCTTCTGGGTGAAACCCAAGACCTTGGGATCTTGAGGTTGGTAGATATGTTTTGCACTGCCAATCCTCGGTGGGGAACGGTGCGTGAAGGACGAGATGGAATGCAATGCGCATCCACCGTGGATCACCCGCTGGAAAGACCCTGCGAAGAATGGCATGTTGGTCTTCAAGGAGATGTTGGATAGGGTGCGGATGATATCTTTGCTGACGTGCACCACGATGAGGATCCACGATCCGACCTTGGCCAAGGAGAACCGACCAGTGCCGCGTTGGGCATTTCATGCCTATGGCAACCGCAAGGCAGTGTTGGAGTCGGTGGCTGGAATCACCGAGGAACAAGGCCAATGGTTGGAAGAAAGTCACCGAGCACGAGACCAGGAGCTTGGTCAAGTGGGAATGCGAATGCAAGTGGCATCTCCCGGGATGTAGTAGAAAGCAAGCGCATCTACGATCCCTTTTTCATATTAGGACAGCGAGGGTACGAGCATTTTCAAACTGGAATTTTCTTGGACATCTGCTGATGGATCTCCTGTTAAAGCTTCATGTGCACAATTGATGAACTTTTACGTTACCCCCTAGTATACCCCATGTACAGATTTTGTAGTGCTTTGACACGTCTTTCATGTTTTGCCACGAGTGCATTGCATGAGCCGAACGATGCGATATTCAGGCCCAAATTTGTGTGGAAAAGACCGTTCGTTTTTACATGGTAGCGGAGCTCTGGAAAGCCAGACTCCGAAACACGTTTCTTCGGCGGTTTGAGTTCAGGGACCAGGACCTGATCTTTCCTTTGCTTTGTTGGGGTTTTCTTCTGGGATTTAGGCTGTAGTGTCTGTCTCCCGCGCGCCTGCTGCCATAGTTTCATTTTGCGGCCTCCCAGGCTTTACGGGAAGAGCCAACCACGACTACTGCTGCAAGCCTTGAGGCTGTCAAAGACAAACTTCGAGAGTTTTACAGAGAGCAGCTGTTTCTTCGGGTGAAGCCTGAAAACCGAAGGCAAGCGAGCTGGGAGAAGCAGTTGTCTGTGGTCGAGGAAGCATTTGAACTTCGCTTGGAAAAGTTTTCGACAGTCGAAGAAGTGCTTGCATTTGGTGGCAAGTGCTTGAAGAACGAGAACCTTCGCGAATCTTTTACCTGGTTTGGTTTCGAGGCTGCCGAAGAGCAGTCGTTGAGCTGGGCAGCGCAAGTTGCTTTCGTGCACCTGCAGCAGGAGCGCGAGAACCTGGATCGAGACCTGTCTGTGGGGTCTATCACTTCAGAGCCTAATACGCCAGGACACTCTCGGGTGTTCAACAAGAAGCTGCAGTCGGCAGCGAGCCCCATCGACCTCGATCAGGACGAGCCAGGGTACCCCTTACAAAGCCGAAATCCTGACTGTGTGAGACCGCATCTTTCACTGTTCGAACATGGCAGATCAGCTTCCAGTTATTGATGACGATGATGATGATGAGCTGCAAGAGAATGGAGCCGGTCCCTCGCAGCATCAAGGAAATCCTTTTTCGCCGTCAAGTCAAGCTCAAGGATCTCCAGGTGTTTACGTAACTGTGGACGATTTGAGGATGATGATGCAGCAGATGACCGCGGCTACAAAGGCTGCGAGCGATGCTGCAATGGCTGCGGTACAGGCCAGCTCTTCAAAGGCTGCACTTGGGGCGAGTGAGATGAGCAGGATTCTTCCGCGTCCCGATACGTTCAAGCCGACAACAAGAGAGGAGTGGTCACTCAAACAATATGTGGTGGCACTGGACACGGCCTACTCCGAGGACCTGAAGAAGATCGAACAGTTTCCGACTGCAGAGATTGGATGGATAAGCGATCCTGAAGCCTTGAAGAGAAGTCAACGCATGTATGCGTTGCTCTCGGGGCTGGTGCGCGGCAGGGGGCTCCAAGTGATCCAGCGTTTTCCATCGCAGAACGGCTACGAGGCTTTGAGACAGCTGATGCAGAGCCGTCGAGCCGTGCAAGATCGCTTGGAATCCTCACGGCCCTCACTCAGACGCACCCGTTTCGCACCAACGAGCCGTTTCTTGCCCAGCTGCTGGATCTTGAGAGGGTGATGGAGGAGTACGAGCGTTCATCTGGCAAGAAGCTGGAGGAGGACCTCAAAACCTCGATCCTCCTCAAGAGCATCTCAGGCGGGATGCGGAACCACCTGTCCACCGTCCTGACGGAGACCTCCTCCTACGACGAGATCAGAGAGGCAGCCCTTCGTTATGAGCGCATGCAGTTCAAGTGGAGCCCTTCGAACCTTTTCAGCACCGAGTCTTCGTATGCGCAAAAGAAGTCCCACGAGCAGGAACCGCAGCCAATGGACATCGGTCAAGTTAAGGGTGGTCCTAAAGGGTACAAAGGTGGCAAAGGTCCTAAGGGCCCTAAGGGTTCAAAAGGTCCAAAAGGCAATGACAGCAAGGGCAAGTATGGCAAGGCTGGAGGCAAAGAGTCTAAAGGTTACTCTCAGAGCTACAACAATGCCAAAGGCGACAGGAATCCAGGCAAAGGTGGCAAGGGTGATAGGAAAGGCAAGAACAATGCACCGAAGGGGGGCAATCTGTCCCCGTCCTGGCCACTATGCAAGAGACTGCTGGCGCCCTCGTGTCAACCAGGTTGAGCAGTCCCAAGGCCAGCCTGGCCCACAGCCTTCCGGAGCTTCTGTGAGCGGCACCTCCACCAGTGCCGGCCCTTCATATAGCAGTGCCTCGAGCCAAGCCTCCACAGCCGTGCGCCGTGTCATTGCCGAGCCTTTTGTGATGGACATGAGCCAGCTTGACCTGTCAGGTGATGACCCTTTCGTGCGAATGATTCATGCACAGCATTTCCGATTGGATGCCACAGATGGCGACTCAGACTGGGAAGTGATTGGGCGTTCGAACACAACCCAAGAACAGCATGTGCGAGCGCTGACCCAAATCAGCAACACCTGTTCGGTGATCATCGACTCTGGAGCTGACGTTTCTTGCATCCCCTTGAGCTTTGCATCTTGTGGAGTCAGTTCCCCTGGAGATTGCGTGATGCATGTGCGTGATGCTCAGGGTGGCAGCATGCAGGTGAGGGATGAGCGCATTGTCGATTTCGTTTTGCAAAGCCCAAGCCATGGACATGTTACCATCCGTGAGAGATGCATAGTCGCAGACGTAATGCAGCCGCTGATAAGCATGGGTCGATTGATCAAGCAAGGTTGGTTTCCGTGCCAAAATGCTCAGGGCTTCTGGCTGAACCACGATGCTTCAGGAGCTGATGTTCCTATGTCATTTCGAGGCATGAGCCTTGGAGTGGATGCTGAAATCCGTCGCGTCGAGAAGGCCGAGGTCCCAGTTTCTCAAGTGCAAGCATGCGATCCGCAGAGTTCCCACGTCCAGTCGAAAGGTCCTCAGGTGCAACCATGCGATCCACAGAGTTCCCACGTCCAGTCGAAAGGTCCTCAGGTGCAACCGTGCGATCCGCAGAGTTCCCACGTCCAGTTGAAAGGTCCTCAGGTGCAAGCATGCGATCCGCAGAGTTCCACGTCCAGTCGAAAGGTCCACAAATTCAGCCAAGTGTGCCACATGTACGAGTCCTTCAGCGTGCAGTGTTAGGTCAAGAACTGAACAGCTTGCATTTCGGCTGGCAGATCATCACTTCAGGCAATTTGTGCTGGCGGGGCAGGTCGTCACGCATGATAGATCCGTCCTTCATGGTTGATCAAAGTTGGCCGATGCGTTCTACACTGATGAGACGAAGTGAAACCTCAGCTTGGTTCTTGATCGAACGCTGCGAAGCTTGGATGGAGCTGGAAGATCTTGAAGATGACATTCCCGGAGGCGGAGAGGCTGAGTTGATCGTTTGCATGCATACCGTCAAAGAGCCCATGAGTGCGCTTGGAGTTGAGAACCTCACTGAGAGTTTGGTTGAGGATGTGATTCCATCTCCTGGAACTCCGGAGAATCCGCTTGATGAAGATGAATTGTTTGATTATGAACCGTCGCCAGTTGATGAGCCCGATGCAGGTGTAATCATTCGTGAAGAGCCTGTGTCCCGAGGTGCGTTGCCCGACATGGAAGAGCCTCTTGGCAATCCCGTTGCTGAGCCTGCTGACACGCTCACCCTTGATGGCGTTGTGCTAAAACAGTGAGAGTTCGATTGGTGCCCTGAAAGCAGCCTGCACTAAGTTGGGTTTGAGAACTTCTTACCTTGAGAAGCAAAAGTTGTCACTTGCCTCAGACATCGCCCGAGATGCTTCAGAGGGAGCTGCTCGATTGCCCCACATGCAATCAATCCCCGATGTTCCGTCCAGAGAGCAACAGCTCATTCACGAGCTTACTCACACGCCATACGCGGCGTGGTGCAGCCACTGCATCACCATGCGATCTGTTCCGGACAGATCAGAGGCTACAAATGCCGCGCCACGAGACCTCCCGAGCGTCTCTTTCGACTTCTGCTATACCGGGTTCAGTCCTTCCTCGAACGAGCTTGAGCCTGTAGCAGGTGAACCTTCTTCAAGTGCCAAAGACCTACTTTGCTGTCTGATCGCACACGATTCCGCCACTGGTGCCATCACGGCAATACCCTGTGAGAGCAAAGGCAGCACGCGATACCTTGGGGTTGAGCTGATGAGGTTCATTCAATCCTTGGGTCATGCGACAGTGGAGTTGAGGTGTGATGCTGAACCAGCTACACTTTCGTTGCAGCGTGCTGTGGTGAATGCGAGACAGAGGCTGGGATTGAAGACGGTTGAAAGGAATCCTCCTGTTGGCCACCACCAAGCCAACGGGTATGTTGAGAAAGCGGTAGACCTGATCCGAAGGTTGGCGTGCACTCTCTTGGACATGGTAAGAGCCAAAACTGGGTGCATGATCGAAGCTGGGCACCCTCTCTTTGCATGGTCCTTTGTGCATGCTGCATGGATCCGGAACAGGTTCGCTGTGGCAGGCGGACTCACGGCGTATGAACGCACTTGCAACGCTGCTTACACCGGGAAGCTTGTGGCGTATGGAGAGCCAGTGTTTGCACAAGTGCATGCAAAGAAGAAAGGAGACCCAAAATGGCTGAAGGCGATTTTCTTGACCAAGACTAGTCTGAACGACATGTATGTGGTTGCAAGCAAAGGTGGTGTTCGAGTCACTCGATCGGTGAGACGCACAGGTCACGAGTGGAAGCATGATGCTGCTTTGTATGCCGATGTTAAGGGTTTTCCTTGGAACTACAGTAGCGGGGTCATAGGAACTAAGATGGTTCCCCCGGCCAAGACAAGGAAGGCCTTGCCTGCACCAAGCAGCCCACAAGACGTTGCAGCTTCAGATCCACCTGAGACGCCAGTTCCGATTTGACTCCTGCCATGGGGTCAGACGTAGGCCCTAACCTTGGAACCCCGGCCCCTGCCGAAGCATTGCCTCCAACACCCGTGGGAGGTAGTGTGGACCCCGAAGCCCCTAAAGTGCCTTGTCGTCCACCACCGCCAAGCTCCAGGGTGCCTGAAGGTGTTCCAACACCGGGACCCGAGCTTCCAAATCCTTCACAATGGCCACATGTGCCTCCTGCAACACCTGTGAAAGACCTGCTTCCACTCACAAGTCCAGTGGTGCCATCAGGCGCTGCTATGGAGACAGACGAGGCCAGCGATGTTCGTGAAGAACGTGCTTCGAAAGTCCCAAGAATCCGAACTGTTTCTTTTGGCAACAAAGACTACGATTTGAATGACGAGCCCTTTGAGTTTGTGGATGCAGAATGGTCCGACTTCGAGTTTGTTGATCCGGACTGCGACAAAAGCTCGAGCACCGAGCCCGACTTGGCAGTGCAGAACGAGGCGGGGCAGAGCGTTGATGCCAGTGCTCTTTGGTTTCCAGACAGTGGATGTGAACCGAGTCTTTCAGAGTCAGAGTTGTTCGAACTTGACAGGATTGCTGATGCTGTGGAAGTGAATAGGCTGATACAGAAGGGTGTGTTGCGCCCATCGTCCGAGAAGGACAACGTTTCATCAATGAAGAGCCTCTCGACCAAAATGGTCAGGACTTGGAGGTCAAAGAAGCGGAATGGGGTGCCTCATTATCTTCGACGTTCCAGGCTAGTGGCAAGAGAGTACCGTTGGTTGGAAGAGAAACAGGGGCTATTTTCTCCAAGTACCACGACAAACATGGTGAAACTCATTCCGATCCTTTTCCTTTTGTGGAGAGCGACGAGGCAAGAGCAATACGCAATATGTGCTATAGACGTCAAAGACGCCTATCTAGAGGTGCCTCAGGAAGAGCCCGTCGTCGCAGATCTACCCAAAGATTGCATGCTTCAAGGACAATACGTCTTTGAGAAGTGTGTGCCGGGACAGAGAGACGGTGCACAAAGGTGGTTTGGATACTACGTACAATTTCTGAGCAGCAAGTTCAATGCCCTTGAGTCGTGTGTTGAGAATCTGGCAATCATGCGTGTCCCCGAGGGCCCGATGATCATGCATGTTGACGACGGCCTCACGCTTGCTCCTCTGACGTGGCTCAAACAGAAGTACATTCCTAGGTTGCAATCACGATTCGAGATTTCGGTAGAGATTGCGTACAAGAATGGAGATGTCTTTTCTTTCTTGAAGAGAAAGCACACTATTTTGGAGTCTGGGATTTTAGTGGAAACTTCGAGCAGCTACATACGACACATGGCCGAAGTACTTGATGTCAAGCATGGATCGAAGTACAACACACCGTATTTCCCGGAGCTAATTCGCGAAGATGTTTCCGGTCCTCTTGATCCTGTTCGAGCAGGAAAGTTCAGGAGTGCACTGGGAATTGCGCTCTATTTGTCAAGTGATCGTATTGACATCTGCTACTCTGTCCGATTGTTGGCAGGATTCATGGCGAATCCCAGCGAACAGGCATGGAAGGGATTGATTCGACTGACGAAGTATTTGCTGAACACGGCTGAGTATGGCACACTTCTTTCACCCAAGCTTCCTGGGTCTTCAGTCGTTCGCGAGGCAAGCCACGATGACATGAGCCATCGAATGGAAAGTTACAGCGACTCTGACTGGAGTGGACACCGGGTTACAAGAAAGTCTTTTGGATCCGCTTCGTATGCGCTGAATGGATGTGTGTTCCATCACATTTGCAGGTCACACCGTACAGTGAGTCTTTCGTCTGCTGAAGCTGAATGGTATGCTGCAATAAGTGCTGCTTGCGAAGGAATCTTTCTGAGGGCGATTTTCGTCTTCATGGCAGCCGCTGCAGAATGCTCCTTGGATCTTAAGATTGACAACTCAGCAGCGAGACAGTTGGCATTGCGTCAGGGTGTGGGAAACAAAACTCGACACGTTGCAGGGCGTCTGCTGTGGCTTCAGCAATCAGTGCGTGAGAAAGTCTTGGATGTTGGAGCAATTGCAAGTGCTTACAACCTTGGCGACTTGTCAACAAAGATGCATAGTGCTAACAGACTCCGAGCTTTACTATTCTTGCATGGGTTTGTCGATGCTTTGACAGGCGCAGCTGTGGGTGAAGATGATTTTGCTCGAATGGCCTTGCAGGAACAAGCAAAGTTGCAAGTCAAGAGAGTGCGTGTTGAACACGCTCGGCAACATGGTGTGGCTGGTTCCTTGAAGGGTGAAGCCGGCAAGCTCACAAAGCAGGTAGCGCTTCTTACTCTTCTTTGTTTGCCTACAACATCAGAAGCGGCAGAGGCGGGGATTCCGTAGAGTTATGGCATGTCGAACATGACCTGGGCCACCGTCCTGCTATGCTGCTGTTTGTGCATTTACCGGGCCTTGAGCTGGGCTAGGGATCTACATGGCTTTGACATGAACAGTCTTTTGGAGATGAGCTCACAGGACTTTGCGTCAAAAGTGATCATGGGTTGCGTTTTCCTATGTGGACTGATGCCGGAGTGTACCATGGAGCAGTACATGTGTTTCTTTCTGCTTGTGGTGGTGTGGACAATGCATCGCTACATTCTTCGACTGGAATGCGAGCTGAAGTCGGCATGCACTGAGCCGGTGAATCGTGAGCCGATGGGAGCCCGTTCGAGTGTCAATGTGAAAATTGTGATACCCCAAGAGCTCTTTGTCACGCTTCATGGTGAGTGTTTTCATCACAAAAGCTGTGGAGTCTTGAAGACTTCCAGAAATCCCTCAAAGATGTTGAGCTTGTGCAGTCACTGCAAAGACATGCTGAAGAATGCAGAGTAGCAGACACAGAAAGTTCATGTGAGATGTGCAGTTCGAACACACTGCAATCTCAGGCGGGGTGATGAACTTTTACGTTACCCCCTAGTATACCTCATGTACAGATTTTGTAGTGCTTTGACACGTCTTTCATGTTTTGCCACGAGTGCATTGCATGAGCCGAACGATGCGATATTCAGGCCCAAATTTGTGTGGAAAAGACCGTTCGTTTTTACAACAATGCATCGCCTGCCAGCGTGTGTGCGTGTGCGTGATGTACAAGCAAGATGGTCTGCAGATTTTGTGGGGTCACGTTTTGCTTGACTTGCGTTTTTCCTTCATGTGCAGGAATTTTCTTGAACGGGTTGCCATTCCCGGCTTGCAACGCAGTGCTCAAGTGTGAGCTCCAGAGAGAGAAAATTTTTGGCTCTCTCAACCAGGTTCTGTGTAACCGTGGCTCTCTGA